TTTTTTATTTTCATTTACATTCAGGGTATAAACAACAAATTCAAAATGAGTAGAACATAATTATATTTTCAATAACTAACTAATCCTTTTTTAACAACACCTTTCATATATCCATATTACCCAACTGGTGGGGTAATATGGATACTCATATTAAATTTGATACATATATCAATATATATATATATATATATATATATATATATATATATATATATATATATATATATATATATATATATATATATATATATATATATATATATATATATATATATATATATATATATATATATATATATATATATGTACATATATATGCTGTCAATAAATTACGTCAACAAAATAGGGGAAAGGGAATAACAAACTAGGGGGGGGGTTATTCCCTTTATAGGAAAATGTTTTTTGAACCTCATCGACCTCCACTTTCCAGTTAACCACAGACTTCGTAAAATATTTAATAGAAACACAATCAAAATTAGTTATTCCTGCAAGCCAAAAATTAAATCCATTATCAACTCTCACAATAAAAGCATTTTACATAAGGTAAAAATTAAAAGAAATGCAACTGCATTGACAAATCCAAATGTCCAATGAACAACTATTGCCTTTCCAACAACATTGTTTATCAGGCCACCGTCTATTCAAACAATCCAGAATATAAAGAAAAAGTGTATTTTGGACTCAGCGAAACATCTTTTAAAGTTCGGTATGCAAAGTACTTAAAATCTTTCAATGCAATTAGATATAAGAATGACACAGAGTTATTAAAATAAGTATATATATATATATATATATATATATATATATATATATATATATATATATATATATATATATATATATATATATATATATATATATATATATATATATACGTACACATATATATATTAACACATTTTTATTTTCATTTTAGTAATAACTATTAACAGTCTTATTTACACTAAAAGCAGCCATTATAAAAGCGGCATAAAGCATTCGCTCTTATGTGGCTCAGGGATCGGCCATAATTAACGCAAGCTTTCACTATAAACAAAACAAATAAGATCAAAAGTTTTCCCTCGCAGAGTCTTTATTTAAATAAAAAAATTAAATTAGCGCATCAATATGAAATCGCCGCGTAAAAAAGCTCTCTCACTAAAATAATAACACTCAAAGCCTTTCTTGTCCGAAATGAAACTCTATTTGTAACTTGAATAGTAGCATTTTCATATGCTGCATACAACTCTTTTCTTAAATAATTTTATGTTTTTTGAAGTTAATGTTTCATGAATGTTGCAAAAGTATGCTGAAATTTATAACTATTTCCAATTATTAAAAAACTTGGGAAAGGTTACAAAATTAAACATAAGCCACTATGGCATTAAAATTGGCGTAAGGGTTAAAAGAGATTCTTATACGCCCTTTTTTTTTATTTTTAAATTGATTTTCAGTAATAACTTTACACCAATAAATAATCATAACATTTACAATAAATTAACAATGACTTTAAAACCAATTGTATTTCCTTTTTTGTTTTCAATACTTTTGGTTAAAATTATCTCTACTTCAATTAGTAACATGTTTATTCCCTCTAAATGCTAAAAATCTTTTTTTTAAATGTATCAAGTAGATTAAGCGTAGTGAGTACATTATTAGGTGAAGTAAGATTAAGTAAGATTGTTAAGTGTATTAAATTCAACTTGTTTCTTCGCGCAGTTATCATGTTCGTCAAGGCTCGTGTTTTGGAGTTAAGAAGTTTGGAGAGGGTTGTAACAAAATAAAGAGTTAAGAGAGGAGGCTACTTAAATTGTAACCACAATTTAAGTAGCCTCTATAATTTTAGTATCCTTCTCGACTTAGGGAGATCTTGCCATTTAAATCTTTTAAAAAATAGTTGCTATTAGCATTGTTAAAATGTAGAAATTTCATTACAACAGCATAGAAGTGAGGTTGACAAAAAGCAGTTGACCTCAGATACTGTCAGTTTGATAGTTAGGTTCCTTTGGTATATATATTATCTAAGCATTCAAGTACTTACACTGACTGTGAACTTGCAACCAGATTGATTTTCCTTGTTCCAAATACAATGGTGTGTAATATTTTTTGCAAAAAATATTACACACCATTGTATTCCAAATAAATAAATCCAAAAAGTTTGAAAAAAATTAAATACAATAGTAAAACTAATAAGTTAAGTCATTTACATTTTTTATTTCTATTATACTTATTCTTTTTATTCTGTATTTAATTTAAAAGAAGTTAATTTCTATTTTCAGAGTTTTTTTAAAATTAGTAAGTTCTTAATTTTGTGGAATGAGCAAATAATGCTGCCTTATAGTTTAAGGCTACTATTTTTCACAAAATTAGAAGAACAATTACCAAACCATGAACTTTCATAATCATTTTCTTTTTATAAAAGAAATGCAAGGATTTAGAATATCACAACTTCTTAGCTCTTAGAAATGAGATCTAAGAAAATGATCTCTTCTGTTGCAGCGGATTAAGACTTCTTGGGGCCCGGGGCTATTTTTGTTTTTGGAGACCTTTTTATGGGCCAGACCCTAAAAATGACTAAAAAAAAAAAAAAAGCCCTTTAAAATTTTTGGGGGCCCCTAAATTTGCAGGCTATTGTCCCCCCTAGCCCCCCTCTTGATCTGGCACTGTTCTGTTGTCAAATTTTTCAGTAGTATTTTTGTACGTGTAGCTTTTTTAGAAAATTTGAAATAAGTAAAGTAAATTAGTTAAATTAAATTAATTACTTCAATATTTGTTAGATTTAAATTATCACAAAACTTATTCTGTAATATACTATTTATGACAGGTACTTTACAAAAGAACCTCATCTTGCTGGTACACCTATTGGAAAAAAACAAGCTGAACATGTGAAGCGAGAGTGGGATAAGTATGGATTTGATAAAGTTGAAATAAAAAAGTATGATGTCCTTTTATCGTATCCAAGTACACCTGCAAGTGTAACTGTTCAAAATCCTGATGGAAAACTAATTTATACTGCCAAAACTGTTGAAGAACCTTTTTTTGAGGAGGAGAGGTCTAATTTATCTGTGTATCCTTTCAATGCTTATTCAGCATCCGGAGATGTAGAGGTATAAAACACTTTTGTAAATTTAGTTAGTAAAAAATAATAATATTATATGAAAAATAGTATGCAGTTTTTTTATAAGTTTTTTCTAATAAGATAAGAGCTTTGGATTTCACATAAAAGAGGTTTAATAAGTGTACTGTTTTGTTAATCACTTGATAACCACGCAATTATCAATCCAATATTTATAATTGTTCATAAATCATCCAAACATCAAGTCTGATGTTTTTATAAGATTATACAATGTAAGCAACATAAAAATTGGACTAATACTGGATATTTTATTTCAAGAGATTTATTTTATTTCAAATGATTTATAATTTTGCTGAATTTTGATAGCTATGATAATGATAGCTAGTCTCACACTTATAGTTTAATAATTTATATAAATTGTTAAATGGCAAGAAAATGAAAGTTGACTGTAGATTAATAATCTACACTTTTCGCATTGTGGCAAGAATATTATTGTATGGGACAAATACCAAAAAAAGTTATGAGTTCAATATTATGAGTTCAAAAGTTATGAGTTCAATATTATGAGTTTAACAGTTTGAAATATTAGTTAAAAAAAAGTGTCATAATCACAAAAGATCTGGACATTGTCGAATTACATCTGCTGATGAAGACAGAAGAATTACAATCACTAGTAAAAGAAATAGTTTGTTAACAGCTTTGTAATCAAATCTATACTGGTGTCTGTTACAGCGGTGAAGAGGCAATTGATTGAAGCAAAGTTTGAAGGCAGAATAGCTGCAAGGAAACCTTACCTTCGGCCCAAAAAAATATAAAAAAAGACTGGAGTGGGCAAAACCACACAAAAAAAAGACCATTAATGACTGAGATTATGTGCTCTTTGGACTATTGAATTTATTTGGTTTCAAATATTTAGTTCCAAAACAATGTTTGTCCATAGAAAAATTGGCAAATATATGATAAACCAATGTGTGTTGCTAACTGTTGAACCCAGTGAGGTAGTGTTATAGTTTGGGGCTATTTTATTGGGGATGCCATAGGTGACATTGTAAAAAAAGAGGGGAAATGATGAAAGAAGTTTATGTGAACATTTTAAATAGTCATGCTATATCTTCAGGAAGTTAAATTATTGGGGAGCCGTTCATTTTTCAAGAAGATAGCAATCTATAGCATTCTTCAAAATTTTCTAAGAATTACTTGAGTGAGTTAGAGAAAGATCAATATCTTTCTCTAACTCACTCAAGTAATTCTTAGAAGTATTGAATAGGATAATTTGACCCCCCCAGTCACAAGATCTATCTTCTATTGAACTTTTATGGGGTGAACTAAAAAGAAATGTAAAAAAACTAATGTTTAATGATGCAAAAGATATGTAGAAAAAAACTTATTAATGAGTGGCATAAGTGACTTTGACAAATTGGAAAAATTGTTATGTAAAATTCAAAATATATGTAAAGTAGTTATTGCCTCAAATGGTGGTTACATTTAACATAACATAACAACAGAAAAAATCTGTTAAATAATATGGAGTTTTTTTACAGTGTGGCTTTCTTTTTATTGCTCTGTACAACAATTTATTAACTACTCTTAACCATTAAATATATTTTAAACCTTTATTTAATTAGGTTGTTATGTGTAAATTATATAAGAATTTTATTTTATTTTTAATTTTTAAGTATGTAAACTTAATAGTGAAATAGTTTATTTATCAAGTCATTTTCACTTTCAATTTCACTCCTAATAGTGAGTAAAACTTTGATAACTTTGAAAAGTATGACTATTCAAATAATTATGTATTATGGTGTATATATATATATATATATATATATATATATATATATATATATATAAATATATATATATATATATATATATATATATATATATATATATATATATATATATATATATATATATATATATATATATATATATACACACACACACACACACACACACTAAGGTGTTGACCTTTTTACTCCAACTACTTACTAAAATTTTAAAAGGTTTTTTTTAGGGTGAGTATGTTTATGTTAACTATGGCAATGTAAAAGATTATTTGAGGTTAGCTGCTCGCAATATCAGCGTTATGAACAAGGTGGTTATAGTAAAGTATGGGACCAACTTTAGAGGAGAAAAAGTAAGTTTAAATCAGGTGTGATTAAAATAAAAGTAAAAAATATAGTAAAATAATATAAACTAAAAAATAAAATAAATTAAAATAAAAGTATAAAATATTATAAAATAGTATAATATTAAATAAACTAAAAAATAAAATTAAAAAGAAATTATATTCTTGTAGTCCTTGACAAAAGTCTTGGATTTTTAATATCATGGGTGTATTTTAAGAATATTATTTAATTGACAAATATTGTTGTTGCTGGAGTTCTAAGAAATTGTTTGCTATTTGATTATTATGAAATATTTACCCAATTTTTAGTGGTCAGTGGTCATCTTTACCTGATTTTTATAAATAAAAAGTAATACACCAAAATCTCAAAAAAATTAACAAAAGTCATTTGGTATCAAATAAAAATCAATTTAAATTATTAACAAGGTTTTACTGCATTTCCATGAGAATATGGTTTTAGACAGTAAAAAATTTGATTTAAACTTTTTTTTTTTTACTTTTACAAGTTTGCTACAGTGGTACCATTTAAAATATTTGACTTAAAATTAATTTTAATTATTAAAAATGTATTTTGAATGAGTTTGTTTCATGAAAGAAAAGTTATGATTAAAGAGCAACCTTTAACAAAAGACTTAAAAAGCTGTAAATTATAAGAATCATAAAAAACAGTAAAGAGTTCTAAAGCACTGATAATAAATAAAAATTTTGTGAACATAAAGAAACAGTCTTAGTTAAGAATGCAACTTTATGACTTTGCTGGATGACTCCTCTTACAAAATCATGTTTTAGTAGATGGAACAAAAGGTTATAGTTCATTTAACCAGTGGTTGGTAGAAAAGTAGATAACAGAAATAAACAGAAAATTAAAACAAAAGGGATTATTTTTAAGTAAAGTTTGATGTGTGTAAATTTGGTGGATCAGATCATTTTTAATTTTTATTTTCTATTCATAGAAATAAAATAAAATTTACTTCTTATTTTCAAATATTTTGTATTTATTATTTTTATTTTAAAGATGAAATTTCATTTACTGTTAGGTTCGTATTGCTGAAAAACTTGGAGCTATTGGTGTAATATTATATGGGGATCCATCTGACACAAATGATCCTGGGGCTCCAACTTATCCTTTCAATTGGAATGCTCCCGCAGGAAGTATACCACGTGGAAATATAGCAAATGTTAAAGGAGATCCTTTGACGCCAAAATACCCATCTAAAGGTAATATATTGACGTGCTATATAGTGTGATTTTATAATGCTATATTATTGAAACTATAGTTCAGATATGCTAGTTAAGCATAAGTATGTTGTAGTATGTATACTGTAGTACTTTATAGTTAAGATGATCTCCCAGAATGTTATTTCATGTTTTCAAATGCAGAGTGCATTGTCATTGTGTCTGGTTGTGCACATTTGTTATTGCAATCATTAGTGTTTTTTTTTGTTATTTACCTACTCAAGAAGATCAAGAAGACCACTACAGATGAGGAGGCTACTTAATAGTGGTTATAACCCTCTCTCAACTCTAAAACTTTAAAACACGAACCAAGGCCACTGTGCGAGAAACAAGTTGACAAGTTGTACAAGTTTTACAAAGGAAAACACAGTTAAATTTATTTTTACAGGTTTGGCACTGTTTTCTCCTCCATAAAAGGAAGAGAAAACAGCGCAACCCTACATTTTATTTATTCATTTAATTTACATATTAAAATTTTAATGCCAGTTATATCCTTCAATTGTTGTCAGTGGTCTACCTTTCTAGTTTTTAAAGTTTTAAACTAAATGTTGACAATTTGTCAGCCATGTTTTTTATCACCTCTTCAATTTTGTTGTCATCATTAAGTAGTCTAAAGTTCGTGATTTCACCAAGGTGAAAAATCAAGAAATTGAAATGAGAGGACAAAGGTCAAAAAGACAAATCTTGTAACTCCATAAAGGTCATTGGAAATAAAAATAGTTGTTATCCATCAATGATGATTTTAAAATTGCAATGGAATGATTTATTAGTTTAAAAAATTTTTTCTCTATAAAATTACTCTATAAAAAGCGCTCATGGAGAAAACTAGCACCACACACTTTGTTGAAAATGATTGATATGGTAATTGAAATAACCTTTGCCTTATTGGTTCCATTAAATCCACAATTTAATCTTTTTGTTATTATGATAAAAAAGTCAAGAATAGAACAACTAAAATTTAGTATAGATTGCCAGTAAGTTGTCACACTAAGGTGTGATATAAAGTTCGATCCCCACCACATCCCTGGTAGTACCGTGCTCAACTTGTTTCTCTGCGCAGCGGCCTTGTTCGTCAAGGTTCGTGTTTTGGAGTTATAGAGTTAAGAGAGGGTTATAGCCACAAATAAGTAGCCTCCTCATCTGTAGTGGCCTTCTCGGCCTTGAGGAGGCGAATTAAAAATAATAATAATAATAAAAAAAAACAACAGTTTGTTAATTAAAGATCTTGCCGATGCAGTTCTTGTATATAACAGTAAGAAGATAGTGTGATTTTTATAGTGGTTGACATTACAATTTTATAATTAATTACAATTTTTGTAATGTTTTTTAATATAATTGTTGATAATTGTTGTATTGAGTTTAAATAACTCTAAATAAAATGAAAAGTATAAATAAATTGTAAATGAATTGGAAAGTATAAATAAACTCAAGAAATAAAAATAGTTGTTATCCATCAATGATGATTTTAAAATTGCAATGGAATGATTTATTAATTTAAAAATTTTTTTCTCTATAAAATTCTCTATAAAAAGCGCTTATGGAGAAAACTAGCATCACACACTTTGTTGAAAATTAATAACACTTTGTTTTAAATTAATAAATCATTCCAGCTAAACATTCCCTGCCTTGGGGCTCTTGGTTGAGTAAAGGCTAGAGATGGTGTCTCGATAAAAATACTCATCTTGGGCAGATGTTAACTGCATCCAGCTACTGTCTTGTAGAAGGCCTCCTAGGCAAAGACTTTAGGGGTAAGCAGAAAAATTCTGCTAACCAGCCTTGAAACCCTTCTTCATCTATTAGGCTGGCGTAGATGTAACCTGTGTTACACTGTTTCCTGCCTAGGATGATGAATGCTGGATCTCCTTGACTCTACTCATAGAATTTTGCTTATGCCTCCTTGATAATGGCTATGCAACTCTTCCTGTTATCTCCATATGAGGGTACAGCTCTAAAACTCAGTTTAATGGTTCTGAGGCCGGCTGGTAGTAAGGTTTCCCGAACTCTGTGGTAGCTCTCAGAGAGGCTGATTCCATCAACAGCTGCAAAATATCAGAGTATTAACAGTGCCATGTTGCGCATGGATGGTGTCCCTGTTAATGCTTTTGGTGTGCATTGTCAAGGCCACATAAGGAGCCCTATGTCACGGCTTAGGGTTAATTAGCAGGACTGAGACAACTGCATAGCTCATTGATTAGGAGGCTGTTCTCTATCTATGAATGAATCAAGTTCTCATTAAACCCAAATCATGACCAAAGTAACCAAAAATTTAAAACCTAAAAAACCATCCCCACTACCTAAATATTTGAATATATCTTTTACAAATATTTGCGGTCTACGAAGCAACTTTCCATCAGTTGAGTCTTACCTCCTGCAAAATTCACCAGACTTGCTTGCACTCAGTGAAACAAATTTAAGTTCTGCGATTCTTTCTTCAGATGTCAGTGTTGATGGGTACTATACTTTGATTCGTAAAGACTCCAATAGTCACATGCTAGGTTTAGGGGTATACATACGCATTAATTCCCCTATTTGTCATGAAATCAGGTTCGAATCTTTTGACCATTCTTTTATGTGCTTTCGCCTAGCACCTCTTCACTCTATCACCTTTCTCTTTGTTCTTTATCGTTCTCCTTCTTCCCATGATTGCACTCTTTTAGATATTATCTCTTATCAAATTGACCATCCCCTCTCTCTTTACCCCTCTGCCAATATTGTTGTTGTTGGTGATTTTAATGCCCATCACACTGAATGCCTTGCTCTAACACCACTGATCCTGCTGGCACTAAAGCCTTTAACTTCTGCGTTTCTCAATCTCTTACTCAGATAGTTAACTTTGTGACTTGTTTTCCTGACAACCTTAATCATTTACCTTCACTCCTTGACTTATGTCTTGTCTCTGACCCTAGCTTATATTCAGTTTCTCCCTTTTCTCCCTTAGGTGGTTCTGACCATGCAATGATCTCTATAAATCTTTCTTCTCGTACTTCTTTTTTGAGCTTACCTTATCATCGCACCATCTGCTACTACCCTAAAGCTGACTGGGATTCCTTTCGTGGTTTTCTTCGTGATGGTCCTTAGGCTAATGTTTTTTCTCTCTCAGCTGACAAATGCGCCTCCTATGTAATCTCCTGGATTCAGGCTGGAATGGAAGCTTTTATTCCTTCTCGTCGGTTTCAAGTCAAGCCTCATTCTACTCCATGGTTTTCTCTTTCTTGTGCGGCTGCTATATCTAATCGTAATCATTTTTTTCATCTTTTTCAAAAGAACATTATTATTATTTATTATTAGAATTTATTATTACAAGAAATCGATGTAAAAAGGTGCTTTCTGATGCTAAACTCCATTATTCTCAGTTCACTAAATCTCGCATCTTATCGCAGAAGTTAGGCTCTAAAGACTTTTGGAAAATCTTCAACAGCATTATTATTAAGGGTAGATCTAACATTCCATCTCTCATTCATGGGACTGATCTTATTACCTCTCCCAAGGATAAGGCAGAACTATTTGCAAAGAACTTTTCTTCTAATTCCACTCTTGAATCTTATGGACATTCTCTTCCTTCCATTCCAGTCAAACAGGTTGACCCATTGTTAGACATTCAAATCACTCCGGCTTCTGTTGCTAAAGTCATATCTCAATTAAACTCGTCTACAGCTTGTGGTTCAGACAACATTCCTGTCACAGTCTTGCAGAATTGTTCTTCAGAACTTTCTTCAATTCTCTCTAAACTAATTAACAAGTGTTTGACTGAGTCTTGTTTTCCTGCTTGTTGGAAAATGGCATCTGTGGTTCCAATATTCAAAAGCTCTGGAGAAAATTCTGACCCCTCCAATTAATGTCCGATCAGTCTTCTTTCTGTTATTAGCAAGGTCTTTGAGTCTTTGATCAACATATTCCTCACATCTCATCTTGAGTCAAATAAACTACTGTCAGACAATCAATACGGTTTTCGTTCCTCTTGCTCTACGGCTGACTTGCTAACTGCTGTAACTGAAAGATTTTATTGTGCATTAGATGGAGGCGGTGAGGCTAGGGCTATTGTTCTCGACATATCTAAAGCTTTCAACAAAGTTTGGCATGCTGGTTTTCTCCATAAGCTTGCTTCATATGGTGTTTCTGGGAAAGTTTTTGAAATTATTAAATCATTTCTTTCTAACCGGTTTATTAAAGTCATCCTTGAAGGCCAACACTTTTCTTTATTTCCAGTAACTTCTGGGGTTCCCCAAGGTTCCATCCTGGGCCCTGTTTTGTTTCTTATCTACATAAACGATCTTCCTGACAACCTTTCATCTAAAGTAGCTTTTTTTGCTGATGACTCCTGTCTTGACAAAAAGTCTTCTCTTTTCGATCGTCTAGAACAAGCAGCTGATCTTGAATCCGATCTCACTTCAGTAATAGATTGGGGTTCACAGTGACTTGTGAATTTCAACTCTAACAAAACCCAGTTGTTTACTGCAAACAACTACTGTAATATGGTCAACATTCCTATATTAATGAATGGCAATCCTCTTACTGAGTCCTCCTCTTTACGTCTTCTTGGATTATCGCTTACTACTGACCTTTCATGGAAACCATATATACAATTGATTGCTAAATTAGCTTCTGCTAAGGTTGCTTCTCTTTATCGTGCTCGCCATTTCCTTACTTCTGACTCCATTCTCTACCTCTACAAATCTCTTATTCGCCCTTGTATGGAATACTGTTATCATATTTGGGCTGGTTCTTCTAACGATTCGCTTTCTCTTCTTGACAAGGTCCAAAAACGCATTGTAAATGTTGTTGGACCTGGACTATCTGCTAAACTTGAACCTCTTTCCCATTGTCGTAAAGTTGCATCTCTTTCTCTTTTCTACAAATACTATTATGGTCACTGCTCAAAGGAGTTATCATCTCTAGTTCCATCAACTAAAATTCATTCTCGTTTTACTCGTCATTCAGCTAAGTCTCATTCGTTTACTGTATCTGTCCCTGCATGCTCTAAAAACTTTTATTCATCTAGTTTTTTTCCCCGCACTTCAATCCTTTGGAACTCTCCCCCTTCTTCATGTTTTCCTGACTCATACAACCTTCAACTTTTCAAGTTTTCTGTCAACCGTTTCCTTGCTCTATAACTCTGTTCTTTTTTTTCTAGTAACTCCCAACTTAATAGTGGTTGCTTGCAGCCTTGATGGGAGTAAATGCAAATAAAAAAAAATTAAAAAAAAACTGCAAATAGACCAGTAATTCTAATTATATTTTTATCCTCAAGAAAATAACTTAGTTAAATGGGTTCCTATGGCCAAATTTGAATAAAGTTTATGAACTCTAGAAAAATAGCGTTCAACACTATGTTTAGTACTATTCTATGTAACATAATGCAATCATCCTCTAAAAGTGCACTATAGATATCATCCTCTAAAAGTGCAATATTTGTGGAAGAGTAAAATGTTCTAAAGCATAACTGACCATTATGCTAAAAAAATATATAATTTTTTTTATTGTTTTATAATGATCAGGAAAACATTATTTTGACTACAAATTCAATAAAGCTCAATGCATTCAGGCTGTATATTGTATTTTCTAAATTTAAATTTTTGTCAAAATGATTTTTAATTCACAGTTAATTTTTTAAATTTTTATTATATTTGTATTATATTAGTTTTAGAAATATTCTTTTTGCAAGTTTAAAGTATCATTTCTATTATATCCAACAAATCCTGTAATATTAATATCTTATTTACTTATACATTATTTTCTGCAATAAAACATTCAAGATTCTTTTCGTAAAATAAATTAATTCATTTTACATATAAAATATTTATTTTTATTTAATATATGAAATATAAAAAATGCTTAACTGATGTATTTCTAATATACTAACTTCATAATAAAAAAGTCTAAATTTAGATAAACATGCTAAATATTACATATTTAGCATGTTTATATATATTAATAAAAGTATATTTTTACAATAAATTTAAATAAGTATACATTTATTTTTGTAGAGGGAATGCATCGAATAAGAATTTCAGATGTTACTTACTTTACTAAGATTCCAGTTCAACCTATTAGTTTTCATGATGCAGAACAAATTTTAGGGTATTTTTTATTTTGTAAAATTTGAATGTTTTATTTTTTTATTGTTCGTCTATTGGATAATTTGTTATAATTTTGAAGATATATACTTTATATAATTATGGCACAGATTTTTATCATAATCAGCCCCCATTATTTTCATAACAAAAAAATAATTTGTTTAAATAAATTTTAAACTCTTTTTAACAATCCATTTTCACTATTTGGTTTTATAAAACTTTACTCATTTAAAATTGTATTTAGAATATATTTTGATGAAGTTTTTAATTTCTCTAATTTTTCATAATGCTATTTTTTTTTGTATAAATAAATTTAATTTTTTTTTAATGATGGATTTAATGAATTTATATGCAGTATTTATATTTATACTTATTCATTTTTCATATTTACAAAAATTAATTTTATATTTATAAATTTCTTATTCTTTTTTTTTACATACATTTCTTTTTAAGCTATTTTTGGTTTACCTGTTTACTGGTAAATTTTAATTAATTTAAAAATTTATTAAATTTTATTAATCAGATAAATTATTAAATTTTACCATTACCCACACACTTTTGTTTTTATAAAATGCCTCTGATCATCATCATCATCATCATCACCCTCATCATCATCATCATCATCATCATCATCATCATCATCATCATCATCATCATCATCATCATCATCATCATCATCATCATCATCATCATCATCATCATCATCACTATCAAAAAAGTAAATAAAATTTTTAAAAGCTGCGTTGTAAATTTTTTCAATTTTGTTGTTTTTCACCAAAATTACCTCTCAATAAGTAGAGTTTTGATAAATTCTTCATAAGAAGTTATCTTATAAAAATTAATCTTCATAAGAAGTTATCTTATAAAAATTAATCTTCATAAGAAGTTATCTTATAAAAATTATTCTTCATAAGAAGTTATCTTATAAAAATTATTCTTCATAAGAAGTTATCTTATAAAAGTTAATTTTCATAAGAAGTTATCTTATAAAAGTTAATTTTCATATGAAGTTATCTTATAAAAATTGCACTGCATTTACTTTCTTTTTTATTTTTTTTAATTTTGTATAATTATTGGTAATATACTGGTTCATTTGAATTTTATTATTTACCAGATTACTATTAAATAAAAATGTTGATATGGTTGAAAACGATTATGTGCTCGTGTTCTTTTTTTCTTTTTTCAATATTTCTTTTTTGTGATAATTGTAAAAACTTCAAGTCTTTTCTAATAAAAAAAAGGCAACAGTTTAACTCTGAAGCAACATATTTGATCTAGTCTTAAGTGTTTCATTGAAGCTAATTGTTTTATGGCCTTGTTTTTCTATTTTTCTCAAACAATTCCTGATCCTGGTTTTTAGTTAGTAACCAGTATCAGTTGTTTAGTTATATTTCTCATTTAAAAACTCTCCAAATTTCTTCTCTAGAACAAGCTTCTGACATGTTTGCTGAATTTAATTTTTAGTACCAGTAGTTTTTTTGTTTTTTTTTTATCCAATCTGCAACTGATTTAGCAGAGCACACTGATGTGATATTTTTAAATAAATGGAACCCAATTACTAGATTATAGGCTCATTGGGATCACTTTTTTATTGGTAGCCATTCTACTTAGTATAAGACTTGATAATTTCAAACATTATACCCTATTTGGTTTACAGTTTCACCTAATAAAAACTTTTAACCTTTTTTACCCGCTGCAATAGTTGACATCTGGTCTTTTTAATAATTTAAGTTTTTACTAGTTAGAAGCAAATTTCAAAGTGAAGTAGCATCAACAATAAAATCAGAAATTTTATTATTTTGTAATAACTTTTTTTTTTTTTAAACATCTTCGCTTCCAACAAGGCTGCCAGTAACCAGTAATTAGAGTTTGAAGTTACTGGAAGAGAAAAGATGAAGGTTGTAGAGCAAGATAACGATTGACAGACGACTTAAGAGATTGCAAATTATATGAATCAGGAAAGTAAGATTGAGGAAGCAAATTCCAAAAAACTGATGTTTGAGTAAAAAAACTAGAGGAAATAGAGTTTTTGGAGCACTTAGGAACAGTCACAGAAAAAGGATGAGAATTAATTGAATGATGAGTAACACGAGAATAAATTTTAGTAGGTGGCACAAGAGGCGCTAGCTCTTTAGAGTAGTGCCCATTATAGTATTTGTAGAAAAGAGAAAGAGAAGCAACATTACGACAATGTGATAGTGGTTGAAGGTTAGCTGCAAAAGCAGGTCCAACTATGTTTACAATGCGTTTTTGCACCTTGTATAAAAGAGAAAAAGCATCATTAGAAGATCTGCCCCAGGATATGGCAGCAGTATTCCATACAAGGCCAGATTTGAGATTTATAGAGATAGAGAATAGAATTCATAGTAAGAAAGTGTCGAGCTCGATAAAGAGATGCAACTTTAGATAAAGAGATACAACTAATTAACTGACGACTTAATCATTTTAAAATCAACATCAGAGCCAATCAACATTGCAATAAAACTAATGGCTGACTGCATTTTAAATATTAAATTGAGAATCATTTTATCAGATTTATTGGTTCTTGAAATATTAACATTCGTTAAAAAAAAGTTGTAAACATCATTTTTGTTATATTTTTATTTCCAAAGTTTTTATCAGCTCATCAATTATGCAAATGCTTTAATTGCAAAATGGATAGTAACTATCTGGTTTGTTATAAGACTTTCAACATTCTCAAATTTACATGCTCAGTCACATAGATACCACAAAATGTGGTGACTGACTTGCTGATACTATTTTGAGCCATATTTTAAAAAGTATAAAAATGTATAAAATTCTATAAAAAAAGTAAAAACTCTGATATTTAGTTACTAGTTGTTAAGTTATTACCAATTTACTTTTCCACCTGCAACTTTTATTTCCACCTGACTTTTATTTCCACCTGTGACTTTTATTTCCACCTATGACTCAGTCATAGTGTATCAGTTGATATTCAGTTAGTTGATATCCAGGTCAGGTCAGGTTTTCCTGCTACTGGTAACATGTAACCCAGTACAACCTGCTTCATGTCCTGCTGCCTTGTAGGATACGCTTTTTTAGGCAAAGGCTAGGAGAAGTTAACTCCGAATTAAAACACCCCCTGCCTTGGGGCTCTTGGTTGAGTAAAGGCTAGAGATGGTGTCTCGATAAAAATACTCATCTTGGGCAGATGTTACATGCATCCAGCTGCTGTCTTGTAGAAGGCCTCCTAGGCAAAGACTTAAGGGGTAAACAGATTCTATCTGTTGACCAGCCTCGCACCCCTTCCTCATCTATTAGGCTGGTGCAGATGTATTCTTAATACATTGTTTCCAGTTTAGGATGTTGAACGCTGGATCTTCTTGACTCAATGCGTGGGTATTGCTTGTGTCTCTATTTTTATGACTGGGCAACTCATTCTATTATCTCCTAATGAGGGTACAGCTCTAAAACTCAGTTTTATGGTTCTGAGGCCGGCTGGTAGTCAGGTTTCCCGAACTCTGTGGTAGCTCTCAGAGAGGCTGATTCCATCAGCAGCCGAAAAATATCAGAGTACTAACAGTGCCATGTTGCGCATGGATGGTGTCCCTGTTTGTACTTTTGGTGTGCATTGCAGAGGCCACATTTGGAGCCCTTTGTTACGGCTTAGGGTTTATTAAGAGTAATGAGGCTATTGCTTAGTTGTTAAATAGTGTACTGAGTACTATCTATACTTGAGTCAAGTTCTTTATAAATTTAAAATGACTAAAGTACCTAAAACTAAAAAACACAAAAAACCATTGTCATCACCAAGTTCTCTAAACCTATCATTTACTAATATTCGTGGTCTTCGAAGTAACTTTTCTTCTGTTGAGTATTATCTCTTGCAAAGTTCACCAGACCTACTTGCTCTTTGTGATTTAAGTTTGGCTGTCCCATCTTGTGATCTTAGTGTTGATGGTTATCTTCCTTTAATTCGTAAAGACTCCAATAATCACATGCTTGGCCTGGGCATCTACATTCGTAAGAACTCACCCATTTGTCGTGAAACTAGGTTTGAATCTACAGACTATTCATTTATGTGCTTTCGTTTAGCACAACTTCACTCTATCGCCTTTCTCTTTGTTCTATATCGCTCTCCTTCATCCCAAAATTGCACTATTCTTGATGTTATTTCTGATCAAATTGACCAAGCCCTCTCTCTTTATCCATCGGCCAATATCGTCGTTGTTGGTGACTTTAATGCCCATCACACCGATTGGCTTGGCTCTAGTGTCAGTGACTCTGCTGGCGATAAGGCCCTCAACTTTTGCCTTTCTCAATCTCTAACTCAAATAGTCAACTTTCCAACTCGTTTTCCAGACAACCCTAATCATTTACCTTCTCTACTCGACTTATGTCTTGTTTTGGATCCTAGTCAGTGCTCAATTTCTCCACATTCACCCTTAGGTACTTCTGATCACGGTTTGATCTCTCTAAAACTATTATCAAATTCTTCTACTTCATCAGAATCCCCCTATCATCGTACCACATACAACTACCTTAAAGCTGACTGGGACTCTTTCCATGATTTTCTTCGTGATGGCCCTTGGGTAGAAATCTTTCGTCTTCCTGCTGACAAATGTGCTTCTTACATAACTTCGTGGATTCAGGCTGCCATGGAATCTTTTATTCCCTCTCGACGATTCCAGGTTAAGCCTCACTCTTCTCCTTGGTTTTCCTCACATTGCGCTGCAGCAATTTCTAATCGAAACCGTTACTTCCATATCTATCAGCAAAACAATTCTCCAGAAAACAGACATCTGTTCACTATCGCCAGAAACCATTGTAAAAAGGTTTTGTCTGACGCCAAAACTCGCTATTCCCAGGTCATTAAATCTCGTATCTCATCACAAAAATTAGGCTCTCGAGACTTCTGGAGAATCTTTAACAGTATCAATAATAAGGGCAAATCTGTTATTCCTTCTCTCTTGTATGGTTCAGACTTTGTCACCTCACCTAAAGACAAAGCTGAATTGTTTGCTAAGAACTTTTCATCAATAT